CAGGAATGCAGCTGGGAGAGATTTTCTGGTAACACTGTCTCCATTAGAAGCATCGCAGATGGCACCAAAACAATTAATTGGTCTGATTTCCCCTTCAGATTTAGAGAATACAGAGCTACAGGTTTTATAAGCACTGAGGCCCGTCCTGTGAGACTGCTGTTGTAGTGAGAATTAATGAGTAAACCATGATCTCCACAAAAAATCTTTCAGTCTTAGCAACTGCTTTACACTTTGAAGCCTGGCTTTCCAGGGCAAAGGACTAGACACAAACTATAAAAATAACTCAATGAAAGGCAGAATTATTCTTTAAAGGATAAGTTTCTAAAATCAAGAGGAGCCTGGATTATACAGCTTTGCAGAAACTGGCTCTACAGAAGACAATATAGAATTTATGTAACCCTCAGTATTTCCATATTTTTATCATTGCTTCAGACTTGTTTCTGGATTATCTCCAGTAATTTATCTGCTGAAGCAAGGACAGATATATCAGTCAACAAGACAATGAAGCTTGGTGGTCACAGTAAATTGTATTAAAGTCCTGTTGACTTCAATGGACTTTGGATCAAGACCCAGGAGCGCAAAGTCCAAGACTGTACTTGGACCCTCTTTTAAAAATCAAGGGGAAGATGCTCATTGTACCATCTCTCCTTCCCACGCATGCCCATGCTACACAAGGCACAATTTAGATTTTCCTTATAAAGGAATCACCATTCATCCTTCATTGAAAAACAATCCTCATGATACTGGATCACAGTAGGCTTTAAACTGAACACAACAGAAGTACATCACAGACAGGAACTGAACTACTAAGAGAATTTAGGTAGGCAGAATATAATACCACAACTAGGATTTTAGAGTATCCTCTAACACCCAATGTGGTGGGAAGAGTGGATCATACTGTCATGCTGAATAGACACAACTCAGGTTCACGCAATTTAGTAGAGCAAGATTTGAGACAGTATATTATACATGCAGTTGTGTTAGCCATGTCACCTAAGGTGGATCCCCATCCCTTATTTTAAGCAACTGACCCTTTTTTCACTGATTTGTCCCTTTAAGATGACCACTTATTTCAAGAGATGTCCCTTAACCATTTTATGCATTAAATTAAAACGTATGATTATTGCACTGTGTGTTAGAGGGCAGTAGAAATGTACATGGATATGTCTAAACTATACCCCTCTGTTGGCAGAGGGATGTAAATTAGACATATCGAAAGTGAAAATAAAGCCGGGATTTAAATATCCCATACTTCATTTGCATAATGGCAGCCACTGCTTTTTTTCGAAATGAGGCTTTTCGAAAAAAAATCCAGCAGTTTAGATGGGGCAGTTTAGATCTGTACAAGATCTTTCGAAATGGGGCATTTCTGTCAAAAATGCCTCATCTAAACTGCCATTTTTTTTAAAAGCCCTATTTCAAAAAAAGCAGTGGCCGCCATTATGCAAATGAAGCATAGTACAGTACAGGATCTTTCGAAACGGGGCATTTCTGTTGAAAATGCCCCATCTAAACCACTAGGTTTTTTTTTCAAAAAGCCCCATTTTGAAAAAAAAAGGGCAGCTGCCATTATGCAAATGAAGCACGGGATATTTAAATCCCGGCTTCATTTGCACTTTCGATGCGTCTAATTTACATCCCTCTGCCGACAGAGTGGAGTAGTTTAAATGTACCCCATGAGAGAAAAAATACATGCAAAGGAAAATTATCCAAAAAGTCCCTGCAGCTCTGTCCCTTATTTTTCAAGTGGTTTTCTCTTACTTCCATCCAAAAAAATGTGGTCAACATACATCTGCCCCTGTTTCTCAGAACCCATGTTAGAAAAGCATGACAGTTTAAAAAAATAAGAGACTCACTCCTTATCACTATGTTGGGGGCTCAGATAAAGCACGGTACTTGAAAAAGGAGGTGACAAGGGGAACAGACTTGGAAACTGGCCGTCCAACATTTAATAAAAGCATGTGGAAACTGCATGCAGCAGCATGGAATCTGCCTTCTAACACACTAAAACTAAAAAAAACAGACAACACTCATGTTTAGAAACGTATCATCTAGAAGTGAAACATATGCCCTACATCTCAGGACTACCTGCTACCTATCCAAGGCTAAAAATACCTCTGATTGCTTGTCTCTCTAACCCCAGTGTAACGAGGTTGCACTCAACTCTTGCAAGTGCTCGAATGCGTGTGCCAGCACTGTCTCCTTACCTGTTTGTGGAGGACCTTCACTGACTCAGTCTTCTGGTTAAGTAATGCACAGTCTGTCTGTGTGACAGAAGCAAAGCAAACCTCTCTCCAAGTACTTGTTCAACAGGGGCCTCAGTGCCCTCTGCAATGCTTCTCTCTGTCCCTGCTCCAGGTCAAAGTGGTACCCAGGGCTTCCTCCCTGG